TAAAAAACAGAAGAGGAAAGTACTTTTTCACAGCAGACAGAATGACGAGGTAAGAGATGTTTTTACAACGATCCAACTGTAGTAAACACTTCAGTTTTGATTAACCATGTACTAAATATAATAAAGCCAAACAAAAATATACATTTAGAGCTCTGTGGTGTTTTCCGACAGTTGTATATCAACAAATTGTCAGTCATTCACTAAACTTCACTTGAAACAGTAAAAACAGGGTATATGTTTATTTTTAGTACTAAAATCTCATAATAATCTAAATATTTTGGTATAGCAGACCACACTAAAACACTCCCGTAATTTTCAACTACAAGGGATATATTTATGTTAAAAATGATGTGCTTTGTCATTCATGAAGAGTTTTATAGACTATTACGTTTATGATCACTATTAGGCAATTAAATGAACACATCGAAATGCTGCAAAATACTCTTTAACTGAGCATAACTCCCTTTTCACACAACCAAGTTAGTCAACGCACAAGCTTAGAAGCTCAGTTCACAATTCTTACACTATCAGTCTTTTTTAGCTAGTATATGGCTAAAATAATTATTGCTGACCAGTGTTAAAAAAAACCCAAAAAACAAACAACAAAAAAATCCAGTAGACAGATTTCTCTCAAGTGCCTTACTTTTATGTGCCATTATTATCAGGTAACTAAATGACTAGAAAGGAAAAAGCAATCTATTTCAAAATGTGCATATAAAAAATTTTGGAGGTATAGTCACCTTCACCTGAAGACTGTATGTTTAGGCTATCTGTTAAAAAAAAAGAAAAAGTGCTAACACAAAACACAGTAGAAAGTCAAACTCATTAGACACCCCACAATACCCCAAAGGTGAGAGCAAACCCCTCAGCCTGCCAGGACCAGGCTGTGTCCCTCAGCCTGCAGGAGAATACTTTTTTGGGAAGCACATTCATCGCATTTATCAATAGTTTCCTTACATTTCAGGTATCTCATTATTTAACACAGAGAACATTATTTTAAAGACATGCAAACTTCACATAACTGTCAAATTTGTATTCTAAAAATAAGTATAAAATACTGACAAGGTCCTCAAGCTGCAAGACACTACATGAATTCCTCTAGACAGTCTGTGGGTTAGTTGGGACTCTCCTTTTGAGGATGCTTCTGGATTAAACGTCCTGTGACTAGGTATTGCTTTGCCTCACGCACAATTGCTTATTTAACATAATTCATGGAAAGAAAAATTACTTTCGGGGAGCTCTGTCTCACAGTCTCTGTGCCGTTCCCATAATGAGACTCAGCAGGAGAGTCCTAACTACTGGGAGCGGAGAGACGACGCCACTGCCGGTAACGGCAGCGGATGCAAAGGCTGGTGTTGGCCTCCGCAAAGCTAAAAACCTGCATTTCTGCAGGACCTCTGCAAACAGATTGGCAACAACTTTTTCTGTTTCTAACTGAATATTTCTAACAGCAAAGTATTGTTTGCTTGGTATCGTGACGGTCTTCCTCAGAAAAGAGCTTTGTGCGCGGATTGTAGTATTTCATCCCTCGCATTTTCAAGTTTTGATATGCTGAAGAGTTTGATATCTACAGGTCATAGCTTTGCAAGTCAAGAACCGTCAGGACAAAGACGGATGATTTGACAGTTCAGTGGTGGCTATCCTAGGCTTCTGGCACGTTTACAGACAGTTTGGGATTGTGGACAGATCATATTTTTCACTGAAGCTTCTCCTAAAACAACCATCAAAATTAGCCACTAGTATTCGATTCCCATTTAAACCACTTCCCCTAGGATTCAACATCAGTACGCACTAAGCTGAATGGTGCGTTTCACCCTGCTAGCAGTTTTATTTTTGTTAACCCACGCGCTGTGGAAGACAATGCTATATTCGTTACCAGCTGCTCACGCTTTCAAGGATTTTGCCAAAGTAACTGCTTGGAAGAGCTTAATGAAGAGCCTAATGAAGAGCGCTCCATCACAGCCTCGTAGCCAAGAAACTCCCACCACTACCAGACGACGGCATTAACAGGGAATTTTCCCTTCAGCGATTTATGAAGCAGCCAAAGGTGACAAGAAATTAACAGGCAGGGTTGTGAAGAAAATGAACGCTCCTGAGAGGAGGAAAAAAAAAAACCCAACGGGTGACAGAGGAGCTGCGCACAGAGCAGGAGTGAACGGGCACATTTTCCCTGGCCGGGAAAAGGACGCAGGCTCCCCTCGGCCGGGCGCGGGGACCGCCGCTTTTTATTTCACAGACAGCGGGACGAGGAGCGGCGGAAACCCTGTGCACTGCCTCCAATGCACGGAGCAGCTTTACAAAAAATTCACCCCAAATCACTTACATAAAAACAAAAATAGATGTTTGTCTATAAAAAGGCATTATCTAAATAGTGTTTGTTTTCTGGGTACAGAAGCACCTAGCATAAAGCCTTTTTTTTTTTTTTTTAAAAAGAGTCCATTTTCAACAATAGGATATAGAAAGTGAGAGGTGGCATTGAACTACTTACAGAAAAGGCAGCTCTTTTCCAGTGAACTCGCTTAGTAAAGGAGACGCCAATAAGACCTCGACAGAAAAACATCGGAGAGCGCTAATTTTGCTGAAGATACACTTTTAGGAAAAACAAAACTGCTTGTCAATTTGAGTCAAATTCAGCAAATACAGATTCTGCCAAAGAGGATAAAAAAAGGAAAAGGCTAAAACAGTTCTTTTTGGGTGTGTGAAACGTTCATTTTTTTCATTTTAAACTATTTTATTCAAAACATTAAGCTAAGTTCACTTTTGAAAGTGCTAAACGACCTATTTAACGAAACACTTCTTTCCCTTGAAAACAATCAGCTGGAGATATTTTTCCGTCACTGAAAATTTGCTCACATGAGGTAAACCTGCTCATTTGATTTCTCATCCTGGCCACCGAAACAAGGGAAATAAAAACACCACCACCCTCATCACCACCACCATTATTCAGCAGCTCTAACACCAGCTCCAAGGCCTATCGCACTGGAAAACACCGAGGAAAGCTGGACACGCTCCTGCTGGGTTTCAAGAGGCCCACACGGACTCCTGTCCGCCAGCCGCCGTCTTAGAGCTGCTCACAGGGAAGATGGTTACTGATTTTTGTCCCCCACCTTACAGCCGCTAACGGGGAGGGAGGTGATCCCCGGTCCTCCCCGCTGGACGCCAGGAAGTGCGAACGGCAGGTGTGTGCACCGGAGGTGCCAAGCACAGGACCTTTGTTAGCGAAAGACCGTGTAGCTGAGGTAGGATATATCCTGCCATTAAACACTTTGAGGGAGAAACCTACGACCACCATCACCGTGTCTAAACAGAGCCCCGCTCGGGCTCAGTGGGAATGGCGGG